CCCTGGGGGTGGGAAGATAGGACTTTCAGAGTCACTCTGCTGTCATTTGGATTCTGAGTGTCCCCTGAAGTCCACTTGGAAAGGCTGGCTTCTGGGGCTGTGATGTTGGGACGTGCTGTGGACTCTAAGAGTTGGGGGTCTTCTGGTTTTTCTCTCTCTCTGCTCTGGTTTTAAATGTGACCATTAGCTCCTGCCATGATGTCCCACCACTGGCCACACTTACCTGTGGCCAGCCCAGGGGGCCACCTGATCCTGGACTCGGAATCCCCTAAACTGTGAGCTCATCGGACGTTCCTTTATCGGTAGCCGGTGTCAGGTGTCGACACGTCGTGGGGCCACACAGCTGAGAAGTGCGTGCGTCCCTCTGGAGGTGAGCACGTTAGCTCCTGGCGTCGGCTGGGCCCTGGGCAGGCTGCTGCCTACATCCTGAGATTTGATTCTCCCACCTGCAAAACTGGGGAAGTGGCCACCGGTTCCTGGCTCCCAGGGCGTGGAGATCCGGGTGAGGGACGGCTGCCGCACCATGGCTGCTCATCTCCCTCACGGTGCCGAGCTCCGAGGCTGTCCTGGGAGGAGGAGCACTGAGCCTGGCTTTGTTCAGGGGGTGGGGGGACGAGTGCTCCGCGGGCCAAGGTCAGCGAGCGTGCCTTCCTGGACTCTTCCTGAAGTCCCTGGGCATTTGGCTCCTGCTGTCTGCGGTGCTGCCTGCCGCGTTTTCTCAGTCACCTCTTTTATTAAGGTTCCTAGGCCCCCAACACGCGGGATTCATCAAGATGACAGCCAATGGAGGCACAGGTGACCGGGATCCTGATATGAAACCGTGCGAGCGACAGTCCCTGACCTTTGTCAGCCCCGGGAATGGATGCTCAAGGTTTGTGTGTCACCAAATGGCCTCCTTGGAGCACCCCTGACAGGTGAGGGACGAGGCGTGGGACTGGTGGTGGCTTGGGCAGGACCGCACAACTTTGGGAGAGCTGGAAACCATTTCTGGGCTCCTGGGGCCTCCGCCCTTCTTCTAGGTGGACTCACAGCTGATGACATGTGGTTGCCAAGGCTGGTGGTGGCCGGGAGGGAGGCCGAGAGGAAGAGGCCTTGGGGTGAACCAGATCCCAGGGTCTGCAGGTGCCTGGCTCCACACGGTGGGAGGGGGCTGGAATCCAGGAGGAGGCATTAGTCTGAGCTTGGGAAGGAAACTTGCTAAATGCCACCTGTGAGAAAGAGAAGAGCAAAGTGACTTTCCAAGTGGAAGCAGGACCCCTGGCCTCTCTCCCTTCCCCCCGTGCTTGGTCAATGCTCATGGCCAAGGTCACTGCACTCTGCACCGACCCAGATAGGATCCAAATCCTCTTTAGCGGTCTGATCAGTCTATTCCTCTTGTTTTTTTTCTGCCTCTTTTCTTTCAGCTGTGACTACCTAAGGATTTCTTTTTTTAATCTCTAAGACAAAATTAAATGCCATTGTATGCAACCTCTTGGGTCCTACGTTCTGCTGGTCAAAACGAGTGGGCGTTGCCAAATGCTTCTGAGTTCATCTTTTCTAACACTTCCAGTGGGGGAGGCATAGTGGGATGGTAACTGGAGATGCACCAAGGTCAAAACAATAAAATAAACTTGTCTGTATCCATGGGAAATTGTTTTTTGCAAAGACAGAACCCAAATCTGAGCAAGAACTATTAAAATGGGTTTTCAAACTCAGTGTGTGTGTGTGGGGGGGGGGGGGCAAAACATCCTTTGATCAAATCCTTTAAAAATGGGAAGACAAAGACCAGAATGTTCTTGGGCAAATCTTGGGCATTATAATCCTGACGAGTTTGAATAGTGCTCCACAGTGAAGTCCAAAAACATGAAACTACTTACCCAAAATAGCAACGAACTTTCCAGCCACTTTGTGTTCTTTCAAAGCTGAAAAACCCCAATCCCACAATTACCCATTGAGAAACCTCCTGCCCACCTTAGCTTCCCATTAGCGCCGTGCCGTTCACCTTAGTCACTTGGCATGCTCCAAACAGAACAAAGTAGGTGAGTTCAAGTGAGCCACGGGGCAGGATCTCCCCTTTTCCATTCTCAGGCTGAATTCCCCCCCCCCTTTGTTCTTTCCAGGGGAGGGAGGAGTCTGGGAGAGACTGCTGAGGTCCATTTCCAGACGGTACCTGTGGGCCACAGAGAGTCTTCTCAGAAAACAACCGGCCACTGCAGCTCTGCAGGGAGAAGCACAGCAGGAGCCACTTAGGGACCCAGGCAGGAGACGGAGAAACGGAGCTGGCCCTGGATGTCCGGGGAGGGACATCCCAATTCACCTTGGACAGGCCAGCTTGCACATGGCCCCGCTGTAGGACAGGGCTTGCCTGGCCGTCTGGGCTACCTGCCATCTGGGGTGAGACAAAGTGCGGCTGATGAGTGTCACTGAGAGAGCGTCAGAGGTGGCCAGAGGGTCTCAGTTTTGCTTTTTCCTCTGCAGACTCCCAGAGGAGCCTCCGCCGTCGCAGTCAGGCCAACAGACCTATCGGAATTAGAGGGGTCCTGACCTCGTCCTTGTGGGCCGTTTGGGGCAGGATCCTCACCTGCCAGGCCACCCACTGGACGTGCTGGCCACACGTGCTCAGAGGATTCCAGGGCTGCACTGTGCTTGGCTGCCCAGGCGGCTTGGACGGGGACACCGGCTACTCCACGTAGGAACTGGGCCAAGTCTCCAACTGGGTCAGTCGCCATTCATGTGTCGACTCTGTTCTGCGTGACCAGTGCTCGCAGATGGCTTTTCACCCAGTGGCTCCGTGGCTATGGTCAGCCCTCCCTACCTGCAGGTGCTCATCCACCCCCAGCTGTGGACTGAACCCAGTGGAAAGAGGAAATATCTGTCGGGAGCGTGTACAGAGTCACTCCTCATCAGAATGCACCCTAACAACTGCTTCCACCCATCGAACCCCATTCGGCATCATGAGTAATTGAGAGATGACGTGAAGGACCCAGGAAGATGTATGGAGGGTCGGAGCCAATACCACATCGTGTCACATGAAGACACCTCACAGGTCCGGTTACCCCTGACACCGAGGAATGACTGTACTTGAAACGTGGACGGTGGTCCCCTGGGTGCCTAGCTGGAGGTCGGTCACTGGCTTTACTCTGGCCCCCCACACCAAGGAAACTCGACATGCCCCCCACTCCCATGGGCCTCGGTTACGGTCAACGACAAACCACTCTCCAGCGGCTGCAGAGAGCAAGAGGTGCACACTTTGGACCAAGAATCAAAGAGATGCTGATGCAGTGGAGATGCTGATGGATTTCTTCCCAGTTCTCTCTCAGCTCTTGGCAGTCTCTCATGCGTTGTGGAGTCCTGGCACCATGTTGGAGCTCGAAGCCCTGCGTCGGCCCTTCTGGGCATGGTTCCACGTCTGCCATTGGCTTCGCCAAGGGTTGACACCCCAGAGCCTTTCCCTCTCCCACAGGTTCTCCCTGGACACAGGCCAGCCCTGCCCTCGGGGAACCGAGCTTCTGCCAGCCTGGGGGGCTCCCATCGGGGACTTCTGCTGCCCTCACTTGCCCGAGGGCCCGTGGATCCATGATGTCCTCCTTCCCGTGATGTGCATCCGTCAGGCTGTGAGCTGAAAGCTGCAGCTGGGCGGGTTGTGGCTCAGAGGCACAGCGCTCGCCCAGCCTGCGGCCACCTCTGGGTCGTGCCGAAGGCTCTCCGTCAACAGGCTGCTGCAGCAGGGACGGGAAGGTCACCCAAAGGCCCGTGTGTTAAAGACTCGGTTCTCGGTGGCGCTATTGGGAGTCTAGAGGCAGGCCTTTAGTAGAGGTCGTTCCCTGGATGAGGAGAGTGGGAACCTAGCACTTCCCCTTCGCCTTTATCACTTCCGGGTCATGAGGCGAGCCACTTGGCTCTGCCACAGGCTTCCCCCACCATGTGCCGCCTGGCCACAGGCCCAAAGCAATGGGGCCACCAGCCCCAGCTGGAAACCTCTGAAGCTGTGAGCCCCAATCCACCTTTTCTCTTTATCAGGCGATCGATCGTCTCGGGGTTTGCTACAGCAACAGGAAGCTGACGGCCACACAGACTCTGGGCTCCATCCACGGCAAGATCTGGCAAGACACATGTGGTTCCGGGACTGTGTCTGGGAACTGGGCCTCTGGGTGCTGTTCCCAGGGGGGCCATGTGTCTGTGTGTCTCCCTTGGTACCCTGAGATGGGTCTCTGTGGACCTGGGTTCCCTCCTTTTAAAGACAGGACTCTGAGCCGTTTTCAGGCCGAATACACCATGGTTCCATTCCCAAAGTGCCGTCAGTGTGTTATCTGAACGTTTTGCTTGAGTCTCACCCCAAGAGTACCCAGGGGGTTGTTGGTGGCAGAGTGGGGGACAGAAAGCTGTCCTCATGCTTTTGAAGAGGCCACAGCTGTGAGCGTGTTCTGACCCAGAGCCCCGAGTCTGCCCCATTCTCTCCCAGATTTGGGCAAGATCCTCAGGATGCGGCCCCTTTGCAGGTCCCACGACCTGCCCGTGACGCTGGCCTGATGCGCATCCAGACCCTGGGCTGCCACTGCCTCCGGCCTCTCTTCCGTCCCCTCCATGGTTGGTTTGAGCTAGACCAAGACTGTTCTTCCAGGAAGCCAGAAGCCTCCTCCCCGGGCGGCAGAGGGGCATGAATCAGCTTCCGGGCAAGTTTCTAAATCAATGCTTATTTTAAGCCTGTTTCCTGTCATGACTCCAGAGAGGCAGCAGCCTGGTGATCCATACTCCCCACCCCTCCCTATTGCACTCCCAGGATTCATGCATTTATGCCTAAGCACTGAAAGCATGGGAAGGGTCGCCTTCTAAATCTAAGCCGGATGGACATCCCGCATCCAGCTTCATCCAGACCCATGGCCCACAGATAGGCAGGTAGGATGGAGGCTTCTGGGAGTGGACAACAGGTTTGTCCACATAGGTATGGGCCCCGGGTCCTTTGCACCTCTTCATTCCATGGCTGTGCGTCACCGGCTGGACTCTGTGTCCCACAATCCAGCCTCCGGGCTGCCTGACTTTCAGACAGCATCTGTCGCGGAAGCTCACCTCGGGCTACGATGAACACCCAGCCTCTCCCCGTGCCCCTCTTTCTCCCTGCGTCCCCTAGTTGCTGGTCAGCTCTTGGGGGGCCTTGCACTGGAAGGAGGCTCGGTCTCTCTTTCTTGGTGGAGTCTGCTTCCCTGAGACCCGCCACCACCTCTTGCAAGACCTGGTCCCCTCCTGCAGCCTTGTGACCAGCCACCTCTCCTGGGGACTCACCTCTGTCCACAGTTCCTGGTTCATGGAGACTTCCTCTTGCTAGAACGTGGGCCGCCCGAGGGCGGACTTGTTTTGTCCACCGAGAATCCCTGAGCGTAGCTCCTGGGCTCCCCTGTTAGGAGCCTCCGTTGGGCTGAACCCACTGCAAGTCACAGCTCACCTTGCCCAACGGCCCGTCTTTAAAAGTCAGGAGCCCCAGACCCCCAGGGCTCACCCGCTGGCCTGGGAGCACGTTGGTGGCCCTGGCAGGGGGGACTCTGGTGTCGGGGACCCACCCAGGGACCCGGGAATGGTTCCCCGTCCCAGCAAAGCCCTCCTCTCCTCTTCCTTGCCACGCCCCCCGCTGACCTGGTGGAGGCGGGGACAGTGTCCACTCAGTGAAGAGGTGGGCACGGGAGGGGGGTCTGCCAGCTGCCAGCTTCCTGGGTGGGACTCCGGGTCTCCAGCCGGGCTCCTGTCACCAGCGAGCCGTCAGGTCTTGGGACAAACTTTCTCCGGGGCGACCCTGTGGTCTAGGGAAGAGAAGGCAAAGAGCTAGGGACGGTGCTGAGGTACGTTTTGGCACTCAGTGGTGACAGCTGGCGGAAGGACGCCATAAACGCTCCTGGTGGCATCGAGGACAGTAGGGCTCTTGTCACGTGACTCAGGACAGAGTGTGGGGTGGAGGGGTGTGCACAGAGGCCCCGGGGCACCTTGTGGATGTCTCTCAGTGAGTACACGGACGTGGAGAATCCGAGTCTCAGGGTTTCTTGCTTTTTTCCTTTTTTTGGAGTATTTGCCATTTTTTTTTTCATGTCACCTAATAGCTCTGCACTCACTGGATGCACTTGCCCAGAAGCTCCACCGTCTCCTGGGCAGCTGCCCTTGGGGACATTTCCCATGGGTGCTGAGGCATCTGCTCCTGTTCCTTGTCTCTCTCCCACCCAGAATCCCTCTGCAGCCCTTGTGAATTTGCTCACCTAATAAGGCACTTAGTAGGGCTACTGGGGCCTCCGTCCCAGTCCTTCCAGATCCGGGGTTCAAGCTTTAAGAAGGGGAAAACTTCCCCAATGCTAATGTGTCTATGAGGCCCAAGGGCTGCTGGGGTGACCAGATCGGGGTCAAAGTGCAGCCAAAGGCGGGCTTGGATTTCAGAAGCCATCTGGGCGTGGCCACAGCCAAGAGGACTTGATGCATGCTTTGCTGCAGCTCTTGGCCCTGCGTGCTCCTGGGCATGCCTCGAGCAGCTTTCAGGCTGCAGTTGTGCTGGACATTGCCTCGCAACTCCAGCCACACAGGAGCACATCTTGCCCCCGCTCTGCAGGGTAGGACTCCTTTCTCGTCCCAGGCCCGGCTTTTTAAGCAGCCCTGTTGCCAACAGCTGGAGTCTTTTTTTAGGGGCAAGCCGACAGCCCAGCATTTGTACCAAATGTTCTCTCCTGGTTTGGCCTGAGCCTGGCATTCACCAGCAGCTGCCGTCCCAGCCTTTCCGTCTCCCGGTCCTTTCCCTGATGTCTTCGTCCCTATTTTCCTGGCTTTTAACACCCCCACCCTGCCCCAGGGGAGTGCAGCTAGGCCTGAGGCTCAGCCCCCAGCAGAGGTGCAAAGACCCCGATCCACCGGGGAGCCACAGTGGGAGGACCAAGAGCAAGCTGGGGGCGGGGTGAGTGGGCGCTCCTCTTTGGTCCCTGGGGAGGGCCGTGGGTTTCGGGGACACACTGATAGAGTGACCTCCAGGAGATGCTCCCCCATCCACGTCCACCGCCGGGGCTTTGGGTTCCCCAGGGCCTCTGCCTGCTGGCCTCTTGTCTCTGGAGGCTGACCAGCTGGACACTGCCCTGGGCACAGCCCTGGGCTCCTGGGAGAACCCGAGGCCCCCTGCAGGCCCCTGAAAGGCGTCTCTTCCTGGAAGCCCGGATCTGCCGGGCTGGGGGCTCTCCACTCTGTTCCTCTGCCTCCGGCCCCTTCCCCAGCCCCGTGAGCTCGCTGAGGCCGGTGCAGGCTGTGCCCTGGGCAGCGGGACTTCCTGTCTTCTGGCAGGGTGGGGCCTCGCCTGTGATCAGGAGCTGTAGGATTTGGAGACAGGGGGGCTCTGCCAACTCGGGTCAAGCAGCGAGTTTTTGCAGGGCAACAAGGAAATGTGAGTGGTCACCGGGCATCTGGACTGACCCCCAGGTGCCGGCTCCCTGGACGTGCTCAGCGCGGGCTGGTGACCACACCTGGGCGTGAGTGCGGAGCGGGCGCAGTCTCTGGTTCAAGGAAGAATCCTTGGTCGTGGCCCTGCCTCGGCCTCAGGGCTGCAGGCTGGGGTGTGCCTGGCCTGCAGGAAGGGAATCCAGACGGCTCAGGCCTCCGCTGCACAACCCGGTGGAGCAGGAACCCGAGTCCTGGCTCGGGGTGGGTGGGAAAGTCGGGTCTGTGTCCCCAACGTCTCAGCGAGTGGGGGTGCTCAGCGGGTAGAGCCCACGACCCTGTCCTCCCCAGAGCCAGAGGCTGCTCAGGGAGGAGACGGTAGGGGTCTCTGGGGAAGGACCAGAGATCAGGGTGGTCAGGGGCAGAGGGCAGGGAGATGAAGCAGGGTGGACGGACCTGCTTGTCACCTCCCCAGTCCCCGGCAAAGGCACAGCGGGGACTCAAGGCCCAGAGCCCTGGTCAGCAAGCTGCTCCTGGACCAAGCGCTGGTCAGGAGGCCTGTCGGCCCGGAGCCCTGAGCCGCGTCTGTTGAAGAGGAAGGCGAAGGTCCAACCTGGGGCCACAGGGGGACTGTCCAGAAGAGGTGGCGAACTAGCCTTTACCCAGCGTCTCCAGGACGCAGCTCCGTCCCTTCCCTCCTAAACCCCGACTGGCCTGGACAGTCCCCTGCAGACCAGAGGACGGGGGTTTGTCTTCATCTTTAAGATCTGAACGTCACTGATGGCTGCCGGCAGGAGGTTTCCTAGCCCTTTCCTGGTCCTGTACCCAGTGACCCCACCCAGAATGTTTCCCCGAAGTCCAGTTGAGTAGTGAGAAGAGGAAAGGGGCTGGGGACCAGCCATGGCCCAGCTGGACTTCTGACGGCTCCTCCTGGGGCAGGGGAGGGGGGTCCTGGCCACTGTATTCCCCGACTCCTGAACCTTACTGTTCAGTGGTTTGCTGGAGGGCTGAAGCCAGAGAGCACCTTTGAAGCCGCAGTGGACACAGAGAATGTCCCCGGGACCTGAGACAGAGGAATTATTTTCTCTTCAAAATCAAGCATTGGGCAGACCTTTTTTTTTTTTTTGGTATTGGGGATCGACCCCAGGGGCGCTCAACCAATGAACCTCATCCCCCACCCTTTTCTTGTGTTTTTATTTAGAGACAGGTTCTCATTGGGTTGCTGAGGGCCTCGCTAAGTTGCTGAGGCTGGCTTTGAACTCACCATCCTCCTGCCTCAGCCTCCGATCCCCTGGGTTACAGGCGTGCGCCATTGCACTGGGCTGCAGCAGGCCTTTGACCAAGGCTGGAGGGTCGATGGAGGTGGGAGGCCCTGGGATCATGGTTATTGATCGCTGCATCACTGTTCCTGATGGCGTGGGCACTAGCTGTACCGGGAGGCATCTCCTTTCTCGGTACTTGGACAGATGGGGCTTTGTCGGCCTCCAACTCAGGGGTCACATTGAGTGTGCAGCCCAGAGAGCGGCATTTAAAGTAGCCCCCCTGGGGAGGAACTTTCTAGTACAGTGCTGGGGGTGTGCTTCAGGCTCAGACTCCCTCCCCTCTCCTCCTCTGGCCGGAGCGTGGCCGCGTGATGTCACCTTTCTCAGCCACGATTCTCCAGGGCTTAGATAAGCAGAGGCATCTGCACGCTGGGCCCTGGGGATGATGGTGTCCCCTCTGGCCAGCTTTTCCTGCAGTGTGGCTGTGACCCTCCCCCACTGAGGGGCAGGGGTTCCGTCCCCCTCTCCCGGATCCTGCCTCCTCCCTAGATCAGGAGGGAGGTCCTGCTGAGCTGTGTCTTAGAAGGAGGCGCAGAGTTCAGCCCTGTTCTCTCTTGTTTGCTGGCTCTGGAGGAAGC